GACCAAAATTGCAGCGGGCGTTACAACGATGTAAAACTCGCGCGCAATGGTCTCCGGGCTCTTGGTTCCAACGATATCGCTGAGGCGGATGAGCCTCCGCCCGGCAGGCTGAGTACCACAATCACTACTGAGGAGTTCACTAAACTCACACACAAGCTCTTCGCGGGGTACAAGGAAGCCGACATTCAAGCCATACTGAAGCGTTCCATCGTCTTCGTCTTCGGGAAGCACGCCGTCTACCTGCGCCTCCCGAACAAGGATATGGCAGCCCCCATCCATCGTATACTCATGGATAATATCCACGCCGACCTTTTCAGTGACAGAGACAAGCCATTCTATGCCAAGTACAAGACTGGTATCGAGGAGGTGCCCCCTACTTTCGAGGAGGATGTGCACTGCGAGCAGTCCCTTATCCTCCATGGCATAGCTGAGCTTGCACTTGCGGGGAACCCAAGCACTTATATCGACAATGTCAACACAAAGCTTGCCCAAAAGCTTCAGGACATGAGTCGAGTGACCCGTACAAGGTGGGTGCCAGGTTCTCCATCCTCGGAGGAAGATGACAGTACAAGGTACTCGGGCCCTGTGGTGCCACATGCTGCCCCACCTCCTGGTGCTCCTCGCGTTCGTCTTGGTACCTTCGTTTACCCTTCTCCGGCCCGCCGGGTAAGGATGAAATCAGCGACTGTCCCTATCGAATCCTCATGTGCTGAGCCCAGTGAAGACGCAAAGGCAGAGTCGGCCGTCGCCGTAGAGCAAGATCATGCCGAGAAGCCGTTGTCGGGAGATGAGGAGGCTGCTTGTGCCATGCACTCGTAGCCTTTCACCCTATTGCACATCGGTGTGTGGCCACGGGACCACGGTGTACGGTATAAACTGTTGCTACACAGACGGGTAAGCGTGACGAAGGGCAAAAGAACTGTGTCCTGCGTCATGTTATCCTGCATGTTGCATAAGTGCATCATATGAGGAAGCAGTTAATGCGCATGCCGCTGCTTCAACAGGTT